CACACACACACACACACACACACACACACACACACACACACACACACTGCACATGGCCTCTGGGGCAGTTTAAACATAGTACTAGAAAAAAAAACCATGACTTTAGTGTGACTTGGATTGGGAACATAAAGTAAGGCTATAGATTTGATGTTTTGTGTGCGTTTGTCCGTCTCAGGTTGCAGTCAGAGAGTCAGCGGTTGGCAGAGGAGGAAGAGTCACTGAAGGAACAGATGGAGGATGGCCAAACGGTGAGGAACTTGCACGCGCACACACACACACACTCGCCCACTCACTCTTGTGGACACAAAGGGGCTTGGGATATGTGTTGGAACAAGCTTGCTCCATCATCTTCCCAAACTCCCCAAAACTTGTCGGTGGCTTTTTCGCCATGAATAATTTGTTTTCTCTCTTAATGTACGTTTGATGTAGCGCCTCTTGTTCAGCGCTTCGTGAACGCAAGCAGCCCTGTTACATAAACAATTCAACACTTGATCCACTCTGGAATTATTGCTTCACCTCAAGCCAAGCGCAAGTGTTTGCCTCACCTCGCTGAAGGTCTTCATGGTAGAAAAAGAAGTTGTCCCTTCCTCCTCCTACTGTCCGCTCCAGATGATAAGATTATTTTAATAGCTGTACCAGCCTGTGATTAAAGAGACTTTGAATCCATGACCTCATCCTCTGTGTGAAAAAAGCATCACTGTAAACGGGCCCTGGCAGCAAAGCTCTAGACTAGTGGGCCGACTGAGAGTGAGTGACAGCTAATGTCTGGCAACTCAAATGGGTTTTTTTGGCCTAATGCTTTCTGATGAGACAAGGAATGCGATGATGTGTTCAGGTCCTTGTTTTAAAAAAAAAAAAAAAAGGTGCACATGATAATTGTTTATCTATGCAGATCTGATGCAGTTGAGTACACGCTACCCCAAACTGTGAAAAGGGGGTCAACTTCTCAAAGGTCAGGGAGGGCTTTTCAGCTCAATCACTCCCCCTTGTGAGCAGGCAGAATGTGTCCTTCATCTGAGAGACCACAGTGGACACATTAACTATTACAGTGCAGTCCTTCCTGGTTACAGCGTTGGATGTCTACCGAGTCAACACGAGGACAGATATGTCTGTTTCCTTGAAGCCTGTGTGATGTTCCAGTATTTCAAACACGCCAGAGGTTCAGGCCACACAACAAACGGTTTCACCATTTCAGTCACAGTAAATTGAATCCTTCCACTGTTCCTCTCACCCAACAGGAGGCCGTGAAAAAAGCAGAGGCTGGAGCAGGTAAGTGGGATCAGATCCACTTTTTGGTGCAGAGAAATCATACAATTACAGTGGACATTTCAGAAAATTGCATCTCCATTAGCTTTTTATTTATTTATTTTTAGCAGAGAAAGTGATAAATCGATGCAGATTTCCCTCCGTGTAAGAGTCAACACGATGATTTTAAAGCAATCTGACAAGCTTATTATGTAACTGTGTGCAGAGCGAAGCATCGCTGTCCTCTTTCGACACACTATTCTGTCCAATACATGTCAACCCTGCAACGCTTTATCCCGTTAAACACCGCTGTGTGCAGACAGGCTGCTACCACAGCTGCTCTTACCTAATTACATCAGCACGTATTCATTACATTTCATTTGTTTAATGCATATTTTTTTTTTTTTCTGTCTTTCCTTGCATTGCACATACCTTGGACGCTATCTAAAGAAAAAGTCACACATTCTTAGTTTTATCATCTTCTAATGTTACTTTGGCAAGAAGTGCAGGTGTGTTGATTAAGCCCTGTTTTTAGTGGGGACCTCATAATACAGTGACAGGTGCATCTTAGTTTGAATATTTTGATTTAAAGGCATACTTATGATGTTGTTTTCTGAGAAATTAGGGCTCCATCTTGTCGTAATTCATGATCTCTGTACTGCATGTCTGACTGAAAAACATGGCTGCCAGTAATGAATATATATCTTTTTATTTTCTTGCTCAGAAATGGTCCAAGATGCTGTCATGCAGAACGGTGAAAACAATGGCTCGGGTGGGTACGCAGTTGACTCGTGTGTCGTAAAATGCACACAGAAACAAGTCCTGTGCACATTGAACCACATCTGGATTCTCATTGATGTCAACATCTGTCTCTGTCATCCCTTTGAACCTGAAAAGATCTTGTCTTATTGTTAATTCTTATCCATTCACCATCTCACCCTGACCCCTCAAAGACCATGAAACCCCCTTATAGAAATGCGTGTCTGTATGCATGGCATATACTAAGAAATTAGCATCACAAAGGAAGGCGGGGCGCATACCTGCACTTCACAAAAAGTTCATACATGCTGCGAATGAATATTTACGCATGTTAAGATTGCACATGTATATTTATGCAAAGCGGCGCTCAAGGGCATACGTTGCATTTTTAAAAGGCAGCGGGGACGTGGACAGCTGCTGAAGTGGACAAGAGACTTCTGAGAAGTAAATAGTGTTTAAATCAAGCAGGGTCTTTAAGTTTAGACTGCACAATCTATATCTAATGCATGCTCTTTGTTCTGCTGCTAGTTTATCTGCCGCTCACTGTGTCTAACTTCTTCTCATCTCAAGATTTACCCTTAAAATTCATATCGTATTTTTTTTCTCATTACGGTACAATAAATATCCACTCCTTCTGCTCTGTGATAAATAAAAGCCTTCATTCATTAGGCTGCACTTCATGGCCTGTAGCTAAAGCAGTGCTACCCTTTATTAGCTTCTGCATTGTGTAATGTGTGGAGATTAATAGGTGGCAGAGCCTTTTGTTAACTGCATAACAACAACTAAATTAGCTGTATTGAGCACTGACATAGACTCTAGTTGCAATCAAGTCCCGGTGCATCCACACAATGAAGGCTAATAATCAGCGTAAATGACAGTGTGGTGTATTGATTGCAAATTCACTCGGCCTCATCGAAATGCATCAAGCAGCAATAACTTTTCTAATTAATGCCATTGTGCATAAATCTCCTCCTTAACTCACAGTGACGTTTACTTGGTGTTTTGTCTTCAGATGAAGCGAAGACAAAAAGCACCCCGCTGGGTGAAACTGCGGCTGTCCTGACCAATGGCGAAGCAGACACCAATCACGACACTCGGGCCTCCACTAACGGACCAGTAGAAGCCTCCGGGGGCGGCATGAAATCGGAGCCTGGGTTGAGCTTTGGTGTTTCTGAGGCGGAGCTTAGTCAGGTTCCAAATGTCAACTTTAATGAGGAGGAGGAGGGGGAGGGGGGGGGGGGGGGATTCTGGTGATGAGAGCAGAGCGTGTGATCATCACAGAGGACGGAGATGATGTACCTGAGGATCTTGCACACCAGCAGGAGACCATGCAGACAGAGGCAGCAGGCCAAGAGGGAGGGCAAGCTGAGGGGGAAGTAAAAACAGAGGCAGCTCCAGAAACCTTCACACAACAAGAGCAGAGTGAGGCGACTGAACCCGCTGCAGAGGAACAATGGGCAACCGGAGATGGAGACTCGCAGGGTGGCGTGGAGAAGAATGGAGACGGAGAGAGAAAATCCGAAGGAGGGGACAAAGATTCGGAAGGCCCGACCTCTGCGCAGGTGCAGTCCCCAGCCGGTGCCCTAGAGGGCACTGCAGTGGCTTCGTTGCCGGTCTACTCCGAGGCGCAACCCGCCGCTCTCGCCCCTGAGCTGGAGGCAGAGGGTGAAGCTGCGACGTCACCAGAGGGAGCCGAGGCGGCACTGAAAGCCCAAGTCCCTGCAGAGGGTGAAGCTGCGACGTCACCAGAGGGAGCCAAGGCGGCACTGAAAGCCCAAGTCCCTGCCGCGCCGCCTGGACAGTTCCAGGAGGTGCCCCTGGCTGATCCCCAGGAGAGCCAGAGGACCGAGGCCAGGCCGGGGGAGCGGGAACCCCTCCTGTCCCAGGCAAAGACCAACAACGCCCAAGCAGAGCCAGCAGCAGCAGCAGCAGCCTCCGCCAGCACAGAGACTTACAGCTCAGCCAGGGCCGGCCATGGAGAGGAGGCCGAGGCACCCAAACACAAAGCCTGCCAGTGCTGCTCTGTCATGTAGATGCCCCTCACTGTACATTCACCTCCTCTCTCCCTCCTCCTCCTCAGTCTCTCTGCTCTTCAACTCCACACACACTCCTCCCCTCGTCTCTTTGTTTCACACCCTGTATTCTAATCGGCCCACAATCTACTTCCCTCTCCACCTACTCTCTGCCCTCACTCCGTGTATTCATCTTGAAACTTCCCTAATCTCACTCTTGAGTTTTGATACTCCGAGAGGAAGTGAGCTCTCTCCAACGTGAAGACAGGTGGGAGGTGTGGACCGGACTTGTCTGTGTTTAAGTGCCTTGAGGAGCTCTCTACCCAGAACTACCCTTTTTAAATTCTCTTCTTCTAGTAGCTGCAATTGAGCGAAAATAACACTGTATTATTTTATACTGTTGTATCCACATGTGTAATTCATGAGGTCATTTTCATAATCTAAATATGAGATTTTACGTCACAAGATCTGGAGAGTTTCAGAGAGGACATTGTTCTTATTTCATGATTTTAAAGCTGAATTATTTTATGGATTTTGATCTTTTATTAGAGATGCTTTTAATCCAAGTATAGGGCCTGAACATTTTTGTTCACAGGTTTTGACAATACACAGACTAATAGTATGAAATGGTGTAATTTATAAACGGCGAGCACCACTGAATATTTTGTGGGACATTGCCAGTTTCTCCAGATTATTTTGAGATGCCTGAAAGTATGAATTTTGTATTTTTACCAGATGTGCCTTTGAAAGCGGGGCTCCAGAGCTCCTGACATAGCTCTGTGCATGGATGTATAAACCGCATACAGAAACATGTGGCATTGAGCTTTGAAATGATTGATGAATGATTTAATGATTAAACTGACATTTGTGATAAATTGCTTGATGTACTTGATGCTCCAAAAACGACAACATTGCACCATGCAAAAACAAACACCCTGGATAATGTTTAACCATTTGATTCGCAATGTTATTTATTTCTTAGTCCTAACCCAGGGACAGCTGGGTATTTGTCTACCCATGCAGTTTTAGTTGTTTTAAATGTTCCCCTGAATGGAAAAAGAGAACTAACGGGACGTTCCGCAAAAAGGAGAGGGATCACTGGGACTGAACTAATGAGATGATGCACCTGGTGTTCCCTGCAACAAGTCTCACAAATCCATGTCCAAGTCCATGGAGCTTTATAATACAAATTCCACCATGAAAACTGCAGTGCAAGTAAGTCGAGGGAGACGTATGAATTTAACAGTGTGCATTATAGGTTTCATAGGGATTTAAAGAAACGGTGCGCATTTTGAAGTTGTAGCTTTTGAGCCAATACGATTCAAAATGTTTTAGCGCGTGCCATCATCAATATGTGAGTTACAGTGCTTCATGTAATACAATTAACAGAAGTGTGAATAATCAGGGATCACAGTCCTCAAATATTTCTTATTTTTACTGTCACAGAGAACACAGGTGGACTTTGCTCTCAGTATTGTGAAACTTTTTTTTTTTTTTTTTTTTTTTTTTGAATGCCACTATAAAACTAAACGATCACCACTTCCAGACAGATGCTGCAGTGTCGCTGAGTAAAGAGGCTTTTGATTTCAACAAGCAGAGCCATGTTTGCTGTGTGCGCCATCGCTGCCCTGTGCTTGATGCCTGTGGGCCATGCAGCTCCTCTGGACTGTAAAGACCTGGTTAAGCCTTTGGGTCAAATAGATCTCGGTCACTTGGAGGGCAGATGGGTTCTAGTTGCAGACAGTCTGAAATTCATCGAAGCTGGGCAACTTTTTCGAACCTTCGACAGCGTAAGTGTTGATTTCCACAACTCGACTTACACCCAAGCCAATCGTGATGGTGACCAGTGCCACTACCGGTCCCAGAATATCTCCATAGATGGCCCGAACTTTGACATCAAGGTTGGGGAGTCAATTAACTTCAGGGGGACCTTCTTACATACATCCTGTTCGGACTGTGTGACGCTGAGATTCACCGTGGATTCACCAACTCGAAACACAACAGAATTGTGCCTGTTCAGCAGGAGGAGGCAGTTGGACCGGAAGGAGCTGGAGGAGTTCCGGGCTCAGGTGGAGTGTCTGGACATGCCTCAACATGTTGAGCTGGATCCTACCAAGGAGCTTTGTCCGGACTGGTCCCGCCGCAGCCAATCAGACTGAGGAGAAAAACACTTTGGTGCATGATATCTACTCATGGTGTCAATAAAGTGGATGTGGATCTATATACAGTGTCTGTGATTGCTTTTCGGCAGATGGTAAAAATTGAATGTGAGATTTTGTGAATAATCAGAAAAGCCTGCAAAATATGTACACACAGTTTTATGTTTTGTGCGCTCGGTTCATCCCCTCCATGCTAATCCGTTTTTCTTAATGACAAGCCACCATCCCATTCGGTAACGGCTGAACACCATAGTGTTACTTTGGTTATGCTCATAAATGTGTCTTCCCCAAAAAATGTCAGGCCCTATACTATGACTTCAGCACATATTGCAGTGTTTGCTTGTGTGTGCCAGAGATGTATCTCACTGTGGGAATAAGGAATGATTAATTTTAAAGTTGAAAAGCACATTTCTCCTGAAAGGTCATATTCAGAATGAACAATAGTTGTACATTTTAGGCTGGCACTAATCTCCAGACTTTAACAACCAAGAACTTGCAGCATGCCAAACAAAGCCGAAGCAAGTTTTGAATAGTGTTTTTTTTTTTTTTATTCCTTCCCGCCCATGAATGTGTATTTATCGCAATGCATTTTCTAAAATACCATAACAAAACAATTGGTGTTTTTTCCCCACTTTATTTAAATTACCAGTATGTGCCAGTCCGACTGATAGAGACACCAGTGTGAACAGTGGGTGGTACTAAAATGTTCCTTTATTCCACAGTCACTAAATCCACAGGTGGATATTGGGATATTTTCAATCAGACACCACAGTGCAACTGATAATATCCAAACAAGAAGACAGATTTGAGACATGTTTGCCGTATTAGCAACGGTGAGCCATGCAGCTCCTCTGGCCTACTTTACATAATAATAATAATAATAATAATACATGATAAAATAAAAATAAGTGTATTTGTTAATAATATACTGTAGGAGCCAGGTATGACCTGTGCCATCTTGTCCACCCTTTTTTGTCACTTCCGGTAATTGAGTAGCGTGGTGTTGGGGATAGCAATGGGGATATCAGCTATTTACACTATTAAACTACTATTATCATTGTTAAAGCTGTCGATTACCTTCGTACACCAAGGAGAAAGCATGTTTGAACTTTATCAATGTGTGTTATTCAGCACAAAGTTTGTTTGTTGTCTACAAATAAAACTACAAACTCAGCCCCTGGATCCGTGAATCATTTATGCGCATCCGCAGGTTAGTCTCCCCTACTCAGCCTCTCGGTAACTCATTTTAAGTTGCCGATAGTTATATACCTTTTATCAAAGGTGTGGAAATGTGTGTGTACATTGTTGTAATGATACTTTTACTGCAGTAAAGGATCATTTCCACCACTGCTTACTGATCTGATAGAAGCAAAATTATTATTAATAATAATAATAATAATAATAATAACTAAGTATTATTGTTATTAGTATTATCAGTCAGCAGTTTAATTTGTAAATAATGTATTTTTATTAAAGATGTGGATATGTATTTCTACATATTTGTGTAAGTTGTTGTACTGGTACTTGTACTGCCGTAGAGGATCTAAGTACCACTGCTTACTGGTCTGATAGGATCAATAATAATAGTAGTAGTAATAATAAAGTTAGTATTTTGATTATTAATCGTATACCTTTTATCAGTATATTTATGTATCAATAGGAAGAGGAAGGGATCTTGTCTTCCATCTGTCTTGATGTGTATTTGACAACACCTCATACCCAAAGGACAAAATGTATTTGATGTGTTTATGTTTTGATTTGCTTGTTGGTGAATATTTTTCATTTATACAGTACAAGTATGTTGAATCAGATATTGTGATCACCCTAAATTAACAAAGATATCCTGCAACAAAATGTTAAAATACAGCTTTTATCCACGACCAATTCATGATCTTATTTCCCCTCAATGTGTGCGAATGTTTCAGATCATGAGCACGACTTTAATCTGAAATTAAATTTTACTTTGTTAAAGTGTCTCGAATTATTCCATCATTTCACAATCGCCGAATCGACTTTGCCATCTGGCATGGACGGAGTTGCAAAACTGGAGGTTTCTGATCCAACTAAGTATTTGGACACACAGTAAAACAGAGAGTAAACATCTTCACCACTATGTATGTACACAATATAACAGTTTGTATGACTTCAGTATGCAGATATGTGTTTGCTTGGGTGTGCCAAAGCTCCCATTCCTTCACTTCCAGAGCAGTGTCTCAGACAGCTAAATGTGAATGAAGACAAATTTATTTCAAATCAGACAAGAACATTTGACCTGCCAAGCTGTGAGTGGAGATCTATTGCAACTCCATTCCATTTGAAGCAGTTGTAAACCTAATGGTCCATACTTTAACGACCAGTTGGTTGCAATATGTCAAACTATTTTTAAGTCCTTCAGAGATCCTCCACTCAGATTCATATTGATCGCAATACTAAAATACCATCAGAGTGTGCACAGAACTTCAATCCAGGAGAAGTAAAGAGAATAAAGCAATGGATTTCAGGCTTTGTCACCGTGTACCCTCAACGTTACCACAGGTGAAAGAGATCCAACCGTAAACCCCCACCGTAGACGAAAGATAGTCGGCGAGTAATACGATATCATTTAATTTCACAATCACAGAATCCACAGGTTTAAAAAAGAAGACTCTGCTCTCTGGTGTTTTCTGTATTGTGAAACTGGAGGTTTCTGAAACAACTATAAAACCAGCCGGACGTCTTCACCGGCCACATTCTCCGTCTACTGAAACACTGACTGCCCTCAAACAAAAATGTATTTTGCTGTGTGCGCCATCACTCTCCTCTGCCTGATGTCTGTGAGCCGTGCGGCTCCTCTGGCCTGCAAGGACTCGGTCCGGCCTCCGGATCGACTGGATCCTCGCCATCTGGTGGGAAGATGGGCTATGGTCGCAGGCAGTCTGAACCATCTCCCATTACTGGAGCGGTTCAAGCAGAGAGACAGCGCCTCTGTGAACTTCTCCAACAGCACCAGCGACACTGCCGTTTCCTACTCTAGCAGCATCCGTTTGGACGGCACGTGCCTGCATCACTCCTACAACATCTCCCTGAAAGGCGGCCGATTCACCTACGATGGGACACACGAAAGTAACCTCACCATGAACTTCGTCCGCACATCCTGCCGAGACTGCACGCTGATGCGCATGAACGCGGAGTCCGGGAAGAGGCAGCACTTGTACCTGTTCAGCAGGAGGAGGGAGGTGGATCAGGAGGAGATGGAGGAGTTCAGGGCTCAGGTGGAGTGTCTGAACATGCCTCCGCCTGTCGTGATGGATCCTACCAAGGAGCTTTGTCCAGATGAGACACCAAACTGAAGAGAAAACACAGGGACAAAACAATTGAGAGACCGTAAAAAGACATGTATGTATGTGACGTGTATGTCATTATCAGTGTCGGTTTTGTGAAGATCTTAAATTGCCTTTCTCTGTTGTATGTTTCTAAATTTTCATGGAAACCACCACATCTGTATTTCTTACTTTTAAACTTCAAATAAATTCATTTTTCGAATCCTAATCTTGACTTTCACCCAATGCATTATGATATCCACTGAGCTTATTCACCCGACAGACTGTATAGTCTGCATGACATGACTGAGTGTCACAAGAGGATGGTGCTGCAGAGATTGCATTCTTCCTTTTAGAGAAACAGAGATCATTTACAGGATGCATAACTGAAATTTGGCTAAGGTAAAGAAGGCTTACTTACTTGGTTTGATTCAGAAAAGGCACAGAAAAAGATACTCCACTTGTTCATTAGATGAATGAAGGCCACTCATGATTGGGTAATAGTTGCAAAAAGGTGGGGACCAGTGCTGGACAGAGAGGGATATGCAAAATAAACTGAAATGGCTCCTTTAAAACATATCTTGGAATTCAGTTTTAATCACTCCAATTCATTTCTCTCAGTTCTGGCACGTGTCAAAGAGGGATCTTTGTTAACTGAGCGTGAACCGGAAGGCATCACATTCTCCCCTTGGTTACTGTTACTACCCGCTGTCAACCTTTTCCATCCTTACACAGAACAGAAGCAGTTTCCAGTGATAACGGGGGCTGAGTTCACAATCAAAATTATTTTGTAATTTGAAACAGCATGTCTTCAATTTCACACTGCAGTAAACAAAAGCAGGTTTCTCCCTTCTAGCCAACAACCATGGGTGGTCTATGTGCAACTTTAATTCACAGAAAGCACTGTTCTCTGTTTCATGAATCTAAAGACGGAAGAGACATTTTGACTAGTAGAAGCACAGGTGTTACAAATAACAGTAACGACGGCTCTGTTCTATTCAAGCGAGAGCGACAGTGAGACAGCATGCGCAACTCGAGTGCGATGCTAACTTCCGGGGTAGACCTACACAAAAAAACTGGGAACCGGGGTCATGATGCAGCAAGCATTTTGTACAAATGTCATTTTAATGTCAGGCTAACTATATTTAATTAAGTTATACGAAAGCATTTTGACATTATGCAACTTGTGTTATAGTGGAATGTGGATACACCAGAAAGCTCTACAGTATTATGTTTGGAAGGGCCTTAGCTAACTACAGTAGCTTGCTAACACATAGCTAACTAGCATGAGCTTGCATCATTTGAGTTGTCAAATGCATCCCTGGTGGACATACGGTGCCAAAATAATCCTTTGACATGCTAGGATCTGATGTTTTTTAGCTAGCAACAGGCATTTTGGTTGCGTTTCAGCCATAGTAGCATAATGTGGCGCTGATAGTTTTCCTCTCCGGTGGGTGTTGTTTTCAGAGTGTGTCGTGTTGCGCTCTGTCTCTATTATATTGCCTACGGTATATGTAAAACCCTGATCGTTGAAATCCATTTCTACCAGTACTCCAATGCAAACACTAAATATTTTTGGAATTTCAATCCAAGAAAAGAAAATACACCAAAGGTTTTATTTCTTTAATAACAGGTATAACACAGTAAGCAACAACATTGCCGCAGGTAAAGAGATTGCCAACAAGTAAACATCCAAAGCTCAAAAGTCACAGGACTCAAAACTCTACTGCATTTCACAATCACAGAATCCACAGGTGCAAGGGGG